TTTTTTTTTTTTTTAATTTGGACCATTTCTGGATTTATGCGTGTCATCCTTGAAAGCGCAGGGGCCATGCTAATCTTCTCTGTATCGTTCCAATTTCAACGGATGTCCCGAAGGACCCGATATCAATTCTCACCCTAGCAGATGCAGACAGGCCTTTCCACTCAAAAAAAAAACAAAAAAAAAAAAAACAAAAACAAAACAAAACAAAGAGAGATAGCAGGGTCCTTGGCCAACACGGGTGTGAGTGGGAGTGTGAGTGGGTTGTGTGTGGTGTGTGGGAGAGTGTTGGGCTTAGACACTGCTGTTATTCGAAGGGAGGCGCAGCTACTGGCAAAATGCTCGGTCTTTGCGTTAGCCGGCGGCCCCTTCCCATCCTTGACCACCATGGTTGGGGCGGGGGGCAACATGCATCCCCTCTGATGGCTGGAGGGAGACAACAAAGCTATGTTTGCAGGGGTCCCCTGTCTAAGCCTTAGGAGTAGTGGTAGGTAGGTAGTGAAGGTGAATTTGAGAGAATTTGAAAGATGATGAAAGATTTGAGAGAAGAATACAGCGTAGTTTTTTTTTTTTTAAGAAAAAGAAAGAAAGAGAGAAAGAGAGAAAGAAGAGAAAGAGAGAAAGAAGAGAAAGAAGAGAAAGAAAAAGGAAAAAAGAAACACAAGTTGCCCGGGGCTCGGACCCACTAGCATTATTTAAAACGGTGTGTGGCGTTCTTTTCTCATTTAAAAACGCATAAACAAAATGCCATTTTTCATTTACACGAATGCAAGGAAAAGGACCCCCCCCAAAAAAAAAATCACGGGGCCTGCCATCGACATCATGACAGTACAGGCTGTGCATCCACACTTCGCGTCACGTCTGCATGCGACCTTCCCGCCGGCCTGTTCGCAGCCTTCCACGGAAATCTCAATATTTCTCTATTTCTGCACAAAAAAAAAGCAAGGCGTGAAGCTTCAACCCCCCCTCCCCCCCCCCCCCGCCCCCTTTCTCTAAAAATAACATAGAATGGAAGCTTCACGCCAACGCAAAGTGGCCAGCTAAATGGCTAACAAACAAATTAAAAATTTTCCTGCTGGCTGATGGGCAGCCGCCTCCACGAAAACGAAGACAAACGACACTAGCAGTCGATACGGAGTACGATCTACGACTTACGTTCGTCGCGGACGGCGGCAGCACGTGATCGAAAAACAAAGAAAAACAAAGAGCACAAGCGAGCGTAATCGTTACAAGTTCAATGGACCTAGTCGGTCCGAGGCCCTTGGGCCACGTACATTTTTTTTTTTTTTTTTTTTTTTTT